AGATGATAACTCCGTGAGAAATCATTGCAGGATGGTGAAGCTATTTTTAAATTAAAGCTCGAAATCTCTGTTTTAAGATAGCTTTCTTGATTTCAAGTTTGATACACCATCACTGCTCTAACCATTTAAATACGAGGTCGAGTTTGTAATGTTGAAAATTGCAAGGGTTACTTCAACGCCCTGTAACTTGGGGGGAAAAAATCGCAGCCATGTTTATTTCATCTGAAATTAAAGAGGAAGGAACGAATTTTATTCCGCTGTAAACGGCATCGCAGAGAAAAATTTTGTAAAGTCTGTGCATTTCGTTAAACTTGGCAATTTTTAATATGAAAAACATGGCCTCACATTTGAAGGGTTACCGTGGCGAGGGTGCATTCAACTTACAATCGAGGAACAGTCTCTTAAAATAGAGGCTTCAAGCTTTAATTAAAAAAAAAATTCATCATTGTACGATGATTTTTCGCCAAGTTATAGTGAGTCAACCAACACTTTCAATATGAGGCCATGTTTGTCGTATTGAAAATTGCAAGGGTAATTTCAAAGCACTGTAACTCTGCGAAAAAAAATCGCACCTCCGTTTCTTTGCACTTGAATTAAAGAGGAAGGAACGGACTTTATTACGGTGTGAACAACATTGCCGAGAAAAATTTTGCAAAGTCTGTGCATTTCCTCAAACTTGGCAGTTTTTTAAATGAAAAACATGGCCTCACATTTAAAGGGTTTCAGTGGTTATAGTGAATCGAACATCAAATCTAGAAAGAACTGTCTTAAATCAGAGGTTCCAAGCTTTAATTTGAAGTAAGATTCATCATCGTACGATGATTTTTCGCCGAGTTATAGTGAGTCAAACTTTGGTCACCTGGCTACTGAAACATTTTCAATGAGAGCCCACGTTTGTAATATTGAAAATTGTAAGGGTAACTTCAAAATGCTATAACTTCGTGAAAAAAAATCGTATCCCCGTTTATTTCCACTTAAATTAAAAAGAAAAGAACGAACTTTATTTCTCTGTACACGGCATTCCATAAAAAAATTTTTCCTAGTCCATGCACTTCTTCGAACTTGGCAGTTTTCGATGTGACAAACATAGCCTCGCATTTAAAGCGTTACCACGACGAGAATGCAACAAACTCAAAATCCAAAAAGACTACCTTAAAACAGAGATTTCAAGCTTTAAATCAAGCATAGAACCACCATCCTACGACAATTTTTCGCGGAGTTATCGTCGGTCAAAGTTGGCCAATACTGCTCGAAAATCGGTCTCCGCTCTAATTTTTCTCGCAGACTAAAAATCCGTTCTATCGATTTCGGTCGAGAGAACAACGTCGCACTATGGTGGAAGAGATCCGAGATACAGTGGCCATAATATATGCAATTGGGACGAGAGGCAGCGTGCGAGGGTGGTGGCCTGTTGGTCGATTATGCGTGGTGCTGAATGGCGAGGAGCCGTGGAAGCTGAGGCGCAGAGAGAGAGAGAGAGAGAGAGAGAGAAGGAGAGCGAGAGAGCGAGGAGAGCGAGAGTGCAGGCGGCCGGCTGCACGCGGACACCATGCATGTCAGGTATTATATGGTATTTAACGTGTATCTGCTGCTCCACGCACTCCGTTGTTTAGCATTCTGCAGCTGGAATTACGGCGGGAACACGTGTCCCAAGAATATCGTGCGTATGACCCGGTTACCGATGCCCGGCTAACCGAAGCAAGTGTTAATGGTTCCGCCGGACAGCGAGCCTCTGCTCCTGACAAATACCTTTATTATTCGGCGCCGGTTGCGCCGCGGGAAGAGCAGGCGAGATCAAAGCGGCTGCGAGCAGGTTGCTCGAAAGGCTCGAAAGCTCCGGGTTTGCTCGAATTATGGAAATGCGGATGCGGGATTTAAGTGGCGTGTATTTTCGGGAACAAAGGCTTCCGGGCTGTGCGGGCTACGGGGATCGGATGCGCTGATTTCGTACGATCTAAAAAGCTTGATAAGTTCGCGGTGGTCGCGGCAGTGCTCGGAGGTCGAGGGATCTCGAAACTGCGAGAACACGAACACCGGGATTTTCGTGTAAGTAGCTTATTGTTCGAGGAGCGAATCTGTAGATCGAGAGCACCTTTTGGATAATGCCGCGAATTCGTGTAACTTCGTGAGCTCGACGATTGCTCGCATATTGTGCGATCGAAACGTTCGTTTTGATCGTCGCAGATTTCTTCGGATGTGCCATTCGCGATGGTTCGAACGATACCGAGATTTGTTTGGCAATTTTTTGGATAATATTTTCGATCTTCTTGATGTGTTGTCAGAGTTTTTGTTGGTTTTAGGGCAACGGGGACTTGTTTTATTGAATTGAATAGAGAATCAAGTTATTCGGAAAACTAATTTGTTATTCTGTCGATCTATCATTCGATTCTCTAGTTAATTGTGATCTTAATTATTTTATTGCAAGCTCTAGGAGCTACATACAGGTTTATTTCTATCTATAATGAACGTTTAAATGAGTTCCTATTAATGCAATAGCATTTTCAAATTCTTTAAGTCTATTTAAGTGTTTCATTTATTATTTGTTATTGTTATTTATTATTTATTGCACGTTTAATTTATGAATTCTCTTGAAATCTTAACGATTATATTCCTCGATGTACTAATAAGCTATCCCGTTCAAAGAAAAATCCAAAATTAGGTAATTAAATTGTAATTTAAGTGAGTAAATTGGAAATTAAATAAACGGACTGCGAATTAAATAGATAAATTGGAAATTAATCAGATGAATTGAAAATTGAGTAAATAAACTGGAAATTGAGTAGAAAAATTGTAAATTGAGTAGAGAAATTGGAAATTGAGTAGAGAAATTGAAAATTGAGTAGATAAATTGGAAATTGAGTAGAAAAATTGGAAATTGAGTAGAGAAATTGGAAATTGAGTAGAGAAATTGGAAATTGAGTAGAGAAATTGGAAATTAAACACATAAATTGGAAATGAAATAGATGAGTTGGAAATTAAACAGACAAATTGGAAATTGAGTAAATAAATTGGAAAATGAGTAGATAAATTGGAAATTGAGTAGATAAATGGAAATTAAACGCATAAATTGGAAATTGAGTAGATAAATTGGAAATTGAACACATAAATCGTGAATTGAATAGCTAAATCGACCAGCTGAATAAATAAACAAAACTAGATAATTTAAATAACTAAATAAAACTCATCGTCCAATTGTTAGAATAAAAACGTGTAGCTGGTAACAGCGGACAAGGCGGCGACACAGATATTCATCGCGATCGCTTTGTCGCCGCGGCACGCGTTCCCAATCCTCTCGGGAAGATATTCTCGCGGCGAATTCCAGCATCTGAAAAATATGTGTGGAGCCGCTCGACTGGCAGCGAGCGGTTCGAAAAATTTGAGTCGCCCGATTTCTAGCGGTTTTTCACGGCATCGCGGGAACTAGGCCAACGGATACGCTCGATACGCCCTCGAAATCAACTCGCACAGAAAGAAGCGCGGCACTCCGGCGTTGCGTGGGGCTCGCGCCGTGATACACTCGGCCCCGCGTTCCCAGGCCGATATAATTTTTCCGACCTCCCCCGTAAACGACGCTCGCGCGAAAACACCCGAATAAAGTTTCGCCCTCTTTTGCGTTCCTTTTCTGGAGCACGTCGCGCCTCGTCCCGCCTCGCCAGCAGACGATCGCCACGTTTCAGCTTCTAACGCGGGCTCCGTCTGACCAGAGCGGACCTATTCTACTGAAACGCGAAACCTACGATCCCCTCGCTGCCAGCCGAAATTAATTCTTTCCGTGTATCAGCAGCAGTATTTTATTCTTGAAAAACGGTGGTTCTCTTTTCTTGCCGCAGTTTTCACCGTGTATTTTCGACACGTGTGTTTGCATTTGTTTGTTAAACAATCTGATATCGTTCCAGAACATCAAATATCCGTGTGAGATAATTGTCAATTTGATGGACATTTCGAAATAAATTTATGAAGCTTGTAAAAATTGGAAAATTGTATAAACCGATAAAATGATTATATGATTCGAGCAGAGAAGATTAAATTGTTGTTACGAACGTTCTAAAATAAGTTGAAGAAGTAAATAAAAATTGCACGATCATAGGAATCGATGAATAAATTAATATAATATAATAATATATATTGTAATTATAATGAATAAACGTTATATTGAAATAGAGAATTTAGAAAATATATAAAATATAGAATAAAAGATAAAGTATATAAGATATATAAATATGTATAATAATGTGAAATAAATGGTATAAAAATGTAATAGTGCAAAATAAATAAATAAAATATATAAACTACACATACAAAATAAAATAAACTATAGAATTTAGAAAATAATAAAAGTGACGAGATCATGAGAATAAATAAATAAACAACTTCTTTATACAAAATAATCGTAGAACGATTATTATTTTGTAGAATTCTTTTAAAGTACCCTTTAAAAAGGTAATAAAAACAATAAAACTGTTAAAACCACGATAATAAACAAACAGCTTCGTTTCTATTTAAATAAATTTAAATCGTGATCACTGGACTGCGGATTTCGTGAAATTATGTCAAGAATGAGCACAGCCAAGAGCAAACGAACGTATTAAAAGAACGTCGGGACATCAATTTTCCTTCAGCTCGCTGGGAACTCTTGAAGAATGAAAGACGGTGCCGTTCGAGCCAACTTTGTTGCAACCGGCGAAGATGATTTTTATTTCGCTGAAAGATCCGCAGTCCAGTTATCGGGTTCCTTTTACGAGCCCCGCGGGTGTCGCGCGGTCCGAGGGTGCAGGTGCGATTATTGATCGGAATTTCTATCACGGGAGAGATAATTTCATGGGCAGTCCGCAGAAAATTTATTCGCCGTTCTGGCTACGTGACAGCGAAATTTTCGTTTCTGCCGCCCCTATCCCCCTTGCCCTCCCCCCGGGCCGTGGAACGAGGGCTGTTCCGGGGCTCGATGACAAAAGTTAGGGGATCGTAACCCCGTCGACTGCGACGTGTAAATGGTACGTTACCTTCTGGTAATCGATGGCCAGCAGAAGATACTTCCCGTCGGCCGAGAGTTGATGGTCGAAACTCGACGAGAGCGCCTGAAAAACGAACAAACGCCGTGCTAATTAATTGGAATACCTTCTGTTGTACCTGGATGCGACGACGCGATACGAGAAGCATCGCCGTTTCAGAGACTTCTTTCAACTGAGCACTCGGTTTGCTGCCTCGTTTGCCGCGACACGCGATTCCTTTTGCATGTTCATTTCGAATCGCGGACGAGAAGATTATTTCGTATTTCTTATTCAGAGTTGTGATATTTATTATTTGAAATTGGTATTTTGGAAGCAATTTATGGTACTCGTTTGGCATTATATTTATTTGAAATAATAACGAGAGAAATACTTCTTTCACTGTCTCACATTTCTCGTTTAAAATTAGTAGCAAATTTAATAATTGTTCTTGTTTTGCTACGAAATTTTCTTGCTAGTATTAGACTTAGCAATAATTCTTGTTTAAAGTTGGTAATATTTCTTATTTAATATTGATGCTATATTTAATAACATTTCTTATTTAATAATAAATTTCCTTACCAGTATTAAATTTAGTAATAATTCTATTGTTTAAAGTTGGTAATATTTCTTATTTAATATTGATGCTATATTTAATAATATTTCTTATTTAGTAATCAATTTTCTTACCAGTATTAAATTTAGTAATAATAATATTGCTT